TGATCATGTTTGTATACTGCCCCAGCACTGAATATTAACTACAACTCGACAACTTGTGCAAAAAGATTATTCAAATTTAAAAAGAAATACGCCTTAGAGACGTTTCTAATATAGTCTTCATAGCGTTCAATGATCACATTAAACATTTCCAAGTTCTTCTTTGCAGTAAGCCATAGCTTACCCTTGAATATTAACAACGATGCAGGTAATCGCCACCAATGCACAAATAAAGCCCACCATCTTGTCTTGTCTCAAATGTCTTACAAGTAAACACTTTAGGTTGAGATGAGGATCGAGGCTATTTATATACGTGTGTGTCCAGCATAAATAAATTGTGAGGATAAAGATGCCTTTACAAAGTTACACAGACTAATTTATTTCAGCATGTAATTGAACTGCTTTAACTAGTCTAAATATGTTGAACAATTTGCACACATAGCCACAAACTGGACATTGTTTTAATTTAAAAATCAAATTCACTCAACTTGGAAGAAGTTTACAAAATTGACTCAAAACTTAAAACTCGGTAGTTTTGAAGGATTTGTAACATAACATTTACTCTTTAATAAACAGGCCTTTATTTATCGTAAAACACCACCACTAGCTAATTAATATAGAATTAATGAATAAAAACGTATTGTGATATTGTGGTAACAAGCTGTTAATTACGTTGTACTTCATTGATAGCTTGCTTGCGATGTTATAGATTTTTTCATAAAAAAAAGTTCAAAAATAATGAAGAGTTTAAATAACAGATAGCACAAGGCATTGCAGTGAGCACTGTGTTTTGCTAAAAAAAAGGACCAATATTATCAACAATTTCCAATTAAATGCTCTTCGTGACGCCACCCTATAAGGGAGCGCCATCCAAAACAAAGCTTGCATTGATATAAAGACTGTTAATTAAAAATTAAAAAGATTTAACAGTATCCTTTGACAATTCTATTTTCATCGTTTGAATAGGATTCACCAGAATGTGTGTCAAAAAGTACGTATGCCTTATGTTGTTGATGTTAAGAAATAAAAATGTTTTGGATAATGCTTGACATTGGTTTTTGTAGGGTCGCCTTAATTTAAAAATTTTACATCAATTACTTTCTTTTTGAAGGAACACTTAGCTATTTAAATGCACTTGTTGAACTTATTGGAGACTTAGCAGCGTGAAGCGCCGTATACGTCAGAGGAAATTACTTTTTACGTCATATCATCACAAAAATTTGAGCTTGCTGTTTACAAAGTTAAAGTTATGTTCAATGGTTATGTTACACAGCATGGCATTTAAAAACAATAAAAAAACACGCACAATTTTTGTTTTCTCGATAATTTTGAAAGTGATATGGAAGGCAATCCAACCAATATCATTCGTAATAAATTAAATAATTTGAACCCGAGAGTATTGTTACATGTTTGTGAATGTAGATCGTCCAAGCTAGAACAGTCCTGATAAGGACTATTGTTGTTGATGTTAATTGACGTTCTAACAAGGAAAATTATATAGTGGTAAGCCATTGCAGTTTTTAGCCTGAATAGTCGGCTAATGAAGATCAAGAAGGGTACCAGTCAAATTAGAATAGGAATTTGAGTATGTTGATCATCAGCATTAACCAAGCCTCAACAGTTGACGACGAACCATGGTGTGCCATTCTACAATAATGAGTTAAAAATAAGAGTAACGTTGACACATGTTTTGTAATTAAAGTGATGCAAGGTTGGATCAGCGCCCACTGTCAAAATAAATTATAAGTGAATTTGATCAAGCTATACGGTATGTTTGTTTGAATAAAGTGAATCGTTAAAATAATTCGACGTCTGCCATAAGAACAAGTTTTTTTTGCAACAATAAGTTTTGAACCATTATAAAAGTTTCGTCGAAATAAAACTTTGATTATATATATTTTTTATGACTAAATATATAAGAGCACCTAGATCCAATCAGACGTTAACATGCATGTTCTCTGTTACATAGTAGCCATACAAACATACCAAGATTCATTGCATTCAAGACTTACTTGAATACAATTAACTCGTGTAACGCTAACGAAACACTTATTTGCAAGAGAAAAACAATTTGTAATTATGGAAAGTGTAAGATATACCCATAATCTAAACATAAGTTATATACTGGGTGCTTAGAACTTCAAGTGTATGTATATAAGGGCCTGTTCATATGAGCCGGGCTGGCTCTCTTTACCGAGCTAGCCCGGCAGTAGCAAGATCTCACCTCTTTTAGTATCTACATATAATTTCAAATTTGATTCATATGAGAGACGGGCTGGCCCGTTTTGCCGGGATGTCCCTTAAACGAGGCAAGATATCGGCATAAAATGGGTTCATGTGAATGCACAAGGTGGGCAAGACCGGCAGGCCGAGATAAACATCGTACTATTGCGCATGCTCATAAAATTCGATGTGATGCAAAAGATAGGGTAAGCAAAAGAACAACTTTCGGTGGACTATAGACTAATGCATAACATCAATAAGTTTCTTTCAGCTTATAAAAGTAACATAAAATACTAAAATTAAGTAATTTCTTCATACACGACTTAAAAAGAAACCTTTAAAACGTGGCACTCGATACAGATCATTCTCAAACATAGCTATATTTTGTGTACTTACTTTTGATGCAGTAAAATTGATTACAAGCTGTATTTCGCCGTTGATCATTCTTAAAACACAATTTACGTTGTAGCTATAATGAACCAAACTGGCAATAATTCCCCCCAGCTGTCTCCAGTATTAAAATTATATAAGTATAACTCTATTATCCCGAACAGCAATTTTATTGTTAATATCAACTTTGCACGTACATTGAAGGAAGTTGTTGTGTCATAACGAACAACACATGCAATTACGAACATGTTAACGTTATCAGCACGAATTTTTGAAACTTCTACTTTAAAATAATAAATGTGCAGGACATTATTTTTTGAACGTGGCCAAAATCAGAAAAATGTTTTATTTCAGTTCGTATCGCCAGCATACTCATGTAATCCTGCTGTCAATCTCTTTGTGTTTATACTCACGGTAAAAACAATGAATTTGTATAGACATGAATAAGGGTGTTGAAAAGCTGGACTAAAACTTGAGAACTAAAAAACTAAACATCACTTGAAACATAGCTACCATCAAGGTATGTAGCTATAAACTTCTACCTCACAAATTGACCGAAATTATCCATTTCTAAAAGTAGCTTGTGTTGATGTGCTTATTTTTAGTTTCAGCAAGCTATTGAAATTGATAATTAATTCATGCTTTATTTTCAAAGGAAACGTAAAAAACACAAACGTGGCATTTATAAAAATATACGTTAGAAGATATTAGTTGAAGTAATGTCAGTTGTTGTATATTTCTTAAAATGATTAATTTCTCACTAGTCTACAATATGTCTTTTTATTTATGTTTGTACGCTCATGCCTTATTTAAAACGTGATTTTTTAGAGAACCTGACATCGATGATCTAACTTGAATTTGTTGAATATGCCAGTATTGCATCGATTCTCTTGGCCTTTGCAAGCGACACGACAATTTTACAAGACGTTTAATAAGAATTTGTATTTTGAAAGTGATTAACAAATCATTCCACTTTAAAACTGAGATATTTTCCTCTGCTGCATGATGTTACGTTCTGACAAAAATCTTCAACTCTAGTCCCACTGATATTCACTACGTTTCTGAAGATTGCAGAGCGAGCATTCTGGGTACAATGGCTGGGTACTGCAATATAAAATTAATACGCATGCGCATCATTGCTTTTCTTTTTAGCGCGCTTTGTCAACGAGAGCGACGCTGACTATTTTTGCTCTAAATTACTCATTTCATTCCTAACGATTCGGAGATGACTTTAACCACCAGGACAACGATAAACTGTTTTAGCAATGTGATTATCTTTCTTCAACATTTATAATTTTGATTCGGTGTTGTAATGTTGTTTTATTTATTTTGCTTTTGGTAGAGGATAATTAAGCCACTGATATGTAAACTAAACTAGACTATTTCTCTACGCAAGACACGTTCACAAATGTCAGTATAGAAACCAATTAGGCACGACTAGAAACCGACACATCCAACCCCTCAGTCAAAAGAAAATTTTCTATAGGACGTACATTATGAAGAACGTTCTACATGTGATTACCAATTTTTATGAAAACTACTCTTAGGTCCTTCAAATTATAACCTTGTTTTGTTCCTTATGAGGAGATAGATGTAACGATATAAATTATCAAACATAGTACACCGGCCTTTTGACCGGATGTACTGTAGTGTGGGGAGATTCTAGCGCCTTCTAAATTGTGTAAGTTTTCCTAGGACTACGTGCAATGATGGGGCTAAAACGTCGGTCCTTGGTGAGTCCTAGGTCAGGCTTGATGTGTTTACACTGGAGGCCTAGTCAGTCCTTGGTAAGTTACGAGACCGCAGTGTAAACGCGGCTTATATATGGTGTGCAACCATTCTCTTTGGAAGGAACAAGATTGCTGACGAGCCAGATAATAAACAATTGTTTGGATGAGGTTGAGCATGATATCAAAAATTATTCAGACCAAGGTCAATGTTATCTGCAGAAGCAAAGATGAGGAAGATAACGTTGACGAGGTCTGAATAAATTTTAATATCATAGCTACGAAATCGAGTTCAATAATTATTTTATTATTCACTTTAACTAACTGAAATATTATTAACACATATCAATATAAAACATTTTTCAAACCTTCGCTAATTTGTTTTTTTCAGCTGGTTTATTCAAGTTCGTCTGGTTTAGTTATGTTGTAAGCACGTTCAAAGCCATCTTTGCCGCTTTTTTAGTGTTTTCTGGATGCTTCTTTTTTAAAAGCTTTTACATCGTTTTTAGAAACTGTGGAAAATATCGCTATGATTTGACTTTTTTTCAAAACTGGCTTCTAATGGCGTCTATAATTGTAGAAACTGTTATTTGTAAATAGACGTCTTACCTACAGATATCTAGAATTATTTGCAGGTAGTTGACCAATCAAAAGCGACATTGCTTACATAGTGAATAATGATGTAAAATAATTACATGAAATGCATGATACACCAAGACTGCGTGGAACCTGGCAAAAAGATAGAATTAGTTACTTACAGAGCACTATCTCATTAAAGAAATGAGTGAAAAGACGTAACATTAGAATCACATAATTACCTAAATCAGCTCTAATTTTAGCGAAAATATTAGAAAGTTATTATTTCACCACAGTATTTTTAACTATTTTTTCAACGCTTTTTTAAATGATAATGATTATAAAGGATCTTTAAAAGACATAAAAGTTATTTTTTGTTATTATATGTTGAAAGTTTCATTAGAAATAATGATCAAATTTATGACATCACAGTGTTTGGAAATTCTTTATGGTTTTATTTTCATCTCAGTGAACTTTAAGGATTTACGACCTTTCCAATCATACCAAACCACACCAGTCCAACTACTGTATGCTCCACTATAGTAGTGTCCATTCAGGTTAGAATCATAACAACTCTTATACCACCAAGCACCTTTCCTGTCAATGGCACGGTTTCCTCCACTTTGATCATTATCGGAATCTTTTGTTGAAAACGCCATGCTTTTATGATAAGATAATGAATCTCCAGCATTTCCTAAGAAAAGTAATACTTTTCAAAAATCGCATTTAATGCAGTTATGAAATTCTTTTGTACTTGCAGAAACTCTCCCAAAAAGGGGCTTTATGTCGTTGGTCGAAGATTTTTATAGCGGTCGTTTATTTTGGGGGCTTTTGTGGGATTTGCCGATCAGTTTTTTTTATTATATGTAGTAAAAGAGGAAGGACTGATGTAAGTGTTAAAATATATTATACAACAATGAGTTTTCATTTCACATATTCTGGTGCATGTGGGAGATCCAACCACAATCATATTATAATATTGTTACCGTTTGTCATAAAGTTGTTGTAGCTGACTTATTTAACAACTTGCTGTAAATCCTGTTTCAAAATGGAATAAATAAATTGCAATGGTAAAATTTGTGAAGACTTTGACTTTGATCCTACTCTCATTTCCCAGAACATTATTTCTACATCCAGCCTTGACTCATTGCTCTTAATCCTATGTTAAGTAATGAATGGTATTTAACTTTTATTTTAATAGACTTTAAAATTCTTTATTGACTTGATGATGTACCTGTAGTGTTGTCCGAGACTTAATCTATATTTATGTTTTTCATTCTTCTATATGTAAATTTATCCATGCAAATTTGAATGAATTTCAGTAACGTTTATATACGTATAAATATATTAGATACATTTATACCTATTCTTAAGGTTAAATAGTTGGAACGTTATGAAACAAAAAGAATGATAGCATAATGCTTTAAAAAATAAAAACAAACAATAACGAGCTTATGTAACAACATTTGAAAAATTGACCTTCCACTCCTCTTCCTTGTAAACAAGACAAGTCTACTCAAAAGCAGAGAGCCTTGCGTTACAAGTCCCAGGCTTGTGACTGGTATAGCAGAGTATAACTCTGGGACTTGTAACGTAAGGCTCTCTGCTTTTGAGTAGACTTGTTTTGTTTACAAGGAAGAGGAGTGGAAGGCTAATTTTCAATGTTGTTAGATAAGGTCGTTATTGTTTGTAGTTGTTGGATAGAGAATTTTGCTATCATTTTTTTTATTTATACATATATAAATAATCTGGGCATTGAGGCCTGAATTTACAATCATATACTACAGGCTTGCATGCATTTTATATAAAAGGTTTTAATGTTCATTTAAGTCCACATAATTTAGCAATGTTTCAGGCGCATGCTCATTACTTGTTTACAAAGCTACAATTGAATTTTCATTTAATCTTAATGATACGGTAACCACAATCCATGAATGATCTCTTATTGTAAGTCAAAAATTGTTGTCGTAGGGTACAACTTAATGATTCACACAACAAAATGATTTTTATGTTTGTTCAATGTATTTTGTTGTAAGTTTGTAAGATCAAATTGATTATAATTTTTAAGATTTAACAAGACTTCCGCTCAAAGTTAACCGTTAAAATATCTATGTATTTCCCAAAATTGCAGACCTGTCTACGCAAACTCGAATCATTCCAACGTATAATGCTTATATCAAAATATTACTTAGAAATGTGTCCATTAAATGTTTATATTTACTTATTGACTCACCAGAATATGCACCAAGACTCAACTGATATTTATGTGTTTCATTCTTTACAGCAATATAATCATATTCAGCATATGCTTTGTTTCCTGACCAGTCTCCCAGGTCAACACGAAGTTTATTTCTCTTGGCTAATGTTAGTCGGTATATTTTATCCAATCCAAGCCAGAATTCAGAAGTAAGATTACCAAATCCTTGTGTATAGTTTTTCCAATTTCGATAAAAGTCTACACTTCCATCCTGACGTCTTTGAAACACAGTCCAACCACCACCAGATGTCTTCATATCACAGAAAACATTGAAATAACCCTGGCCATCTGGATCAATTTGATACACTCCGTTGTTTTTTTCACCTTTTTTGTAAACATCTGCACAGTCTTTTCCCTAAAAAAAAGTTTTATTAAAAAATCTATTGCATTGGACGTCTTACGGGTTTTGTAACTTATTAAACCTATAAGCAAATTGTTACACAGCTTTCCTGCGCATAGATCCATTGTGCTAAATAACTATTTTGTACATTCTATACCGAAGTTGTTTTCGAATATATAAACTCAACACAGTTTAATTCAATAGACAAAAATTAACAATACAAAATAGCAAGTTTTCAGATATGACTAACTTTCATAGTAACATTTCAAAATTCCTTATATGGTCATGCACGTGTAGTTGTTTACGTACTCTATCCTTGAAGTTCATCTTAATGCCGACTCAGCATTTTAAGGTCTTCTTTTATACCACAGAACACCTGCCAACTTGCACGATTTTATTGGTTTCACCTAAATCTTAAATCAAATCTTCTAAACGCCAGATTTTTGATCACTTTCACCCTTCTTTAATGACATGTAGATTGTGAAAAAACTTTGAACAAATCAGGTTGGACTGGGTATTTAATAGCCATAAAAATTTATACATTTTATATGTTATGCACTCAAATTTTCCACGCACTTTCTTTTTATAAACAAGAAATCCACTTTGGTGTTCTCTGTTTGCTATTTCTTACAAAATTCTCTTTGATGAGTTCTTCTGTTTATAAGTGCGTTTGTTTTTACAATTCTCAATTAAACACTTACTCAGACTTGATTCGTTCAAAATTATTTTACCAAATACATGTGATACCAAAAAATTCAAACAGGAGAAGTGATTGAATATCTGGTTAAATGAAGATTTGCTTTAAGATTTAGATGACAGTTGAAAAAATTGGCGAACTGGCAGGTCTGCCTTCCTATGGTATCATGGTAAAAAAAACATTAATTGATGCTTTATAAACGAGTGACTGAAATAAACAGTGTAGCATACTTTTTTGCTCATATCATGCCAGTCTATGTTTTGATAACTTTTCATATATGAATTATGCCTCTTTACCCCTTCCCTATACATTCGAAATTAGCTACCGCGTTTCATTCTTTGTTAAAACAAGGAGGTCACAAAAAGAACAGTTAAATGCACTGACGAAGAGATATTTTTTAAAAAAATCTTTATTTCTAGGTATTTAATTGCCATATAATTTATGAATGAAAAAAAATGCATTAAATTGGTTGATGTTTTGCTTGCTTACCATGTATATTCCATTGTGTCCTATACTTTTTCTGTAAAGATCTGTGCAGTCTTTTCCTGATGGTTATAAAAATATTAACTAACACAAAGAAATTAAATGAAAGATATTGTTTTAATTGAACAAATATTACTCCTTACTCGAATCTATAAGTGTATTTTCTTTTTTTAAAATCATTCTTACCTTTTTCCGAGATATTTGTAAGTTTTTCATTTTCCATGTAAAGTGTTTTCAATTGTTTTTCAAGACTTTTCAACTCCGTTTGTAATTTTGCCATTTGTGCATCAAGTTTTTTCATTTGTGACGACAGATCAATCATTTTCAATTCGACTTTCTTAATTTTTTGTTGTAGTTTCACTAGTGTATATTTTGTACTTCTGTCCTATTGATTTTGTGTTTAAGAATTAACTTAAATGTTTGAAGATGTTTTTCTCCGTCTGTAGATTTTGTGATATGTTTGAAGTGTTTTTATTTGTCTGTCTATTACTGCAATTTGTGATTTCAAAGTTGCATTGTTTTCATCGGATTTTATGGCGCGTTTCATGTCATGGCTGAATTTTGAGTAGAAATCTTTTAAATCATCTTCCTTTTCATTTGTTAATCTCACTCTGCAAAAGTAAGAACATTAAAGTGAGTCATGGAAAAGTTTTCAGATGAAATATTTCACACTATGAACAAGGAATTGAGGCAGATTTATATTAAATACGTACATGACATAGCTAACAACCTACTAAAAAGATGTAATGTATATAAAAGTCTTACTCCTCCCATACACAACTTGAATAAAAACACTTTGTTGAGCTAATTTGAAAAATCCTTAGTTTACGGTATCGTAGCTTGCAAAGCTTTGATCATATTTGTATAGTGCCCCAGCACTGAATATTAACTACAACTCGACAACTTGTGCAAAAAGATTATTCAAATTTAAAAAGAAATACGCCTTAGAGGCGTTTCTAATATAGTCTTCATAGCGTTCAATGATCACATTAAACATTTCCAAGTTCTTCTTTGCCCTAAGCCATAGCTTACCCTTGAATATTAACAACGATGCAGGTAATCGCCACCAATGCACAAATAAAGCTCACCATCTTGTCTTGTCTCAAATGTCTTACAAGTAAACACTTTAGGTTGAGATGAGGATCGAGGATATTGATATATGTGTGTGTCCAGCATGAATAAATTGTGAGGATAAAGATGCCTTTACAAAGTTACACAGACTAATTTATTTCAGCATATAATTGAACTTCTTTAAATAGTTTAAATATGTTGAACAATTTGCACACATAGCCACAAACTTGACATTATTTTAATTTAAAATCGAATTCACTAAACATGGAAGAAGTTTACAAAACTGACTCAAAACTTAAATTCGGTAGTTTTGAAGGATTTTGCAACATCACATTTACTCTTTAATAAACAGGCCTTTATTTATCGTAAAACAACACCACTAGCTGATTAATATAGAATTAATGAATAAAGACGTATTGTGATAGTGTGGTAACAAGCTGTTAATTACATTGTACTTCATTAATAGCTTGCTTGCGATGTTATAGATTTTTTAATAAAAAAAAGTTTAAAAATAATGAAGAGTTTTAATAATAGATAGCACAAGGCATTGCAGTGAGCACTGTGTTTTGCTAAAAAAAAGGACCAATATTATCAACAATTTCCAATTAAATGCTCTTCGTGACGCCACTCTGTAAGGGAGCGACAGCCAAAACAAAGCTTGCATTGATATAAAGACTGTTAATTAAAAATTGAAAAGATTTAAGAGTATCCTTTGACAATTCTATTTTCATCGTATGAATAGGATTCAGCAAAATGTGTGTTAAAGAGCACGTATGCTGTATGTTGTTGATGTTAAGAAATAACAATGTTTTGGATAGTGCTTGATATTGGTTGTTGTAGGGTTGCCTTAATTTAAAAACTTTACATCAGCTACTTTCTTTTTGAAGAAACACTTAGCTATTTAAATGCACTTTTTGAACTGATTGGAGACTTAGCAGCGTGGAGCGCCGTATACGTCAGAGGAAATTACTTTTTACGTCATATCATCAAAAAAATTTGAGCTTGCTGTTTACAAAATTAAAGTTATGTTCAATGTTTATTTTACACAGCATGGCATTTAAAAACAATAAAAAACACGCACAATTTTGTTTTCTCGATAATTTTGAAAGTGATATGGAAGGCAATCCAACCAATAACATTCGTAATAAATTAAATGGTTTGAACCCGAGAGTATCGTTACATGTTTGTGGATGTAGATCGTCCAAGCTAGTAGAGTCCTGAGAAGGACTATTGTTGTTGATGTTAATTGACGTTTTGACAACCGTATAGTGGTAAGCCATTTCAGTTTTTAGCCTGAATAGTCGGCTAATGAAGATCAAGAAGGTTACTAGTCAATTGAGAATAGGAATTTGAGTATGTTGATCATCAGCATTAACCAAGCCTCAACAATTGATGACGAACCATGGTGTGCAATTCTACAATAATGAGTTAAAAATAAGAGTAACGTTGACAGATGTTTTGTAATTAAAGTGATGCAAGGTTGGATCAGCGCCCACTGTCAAAATAAATTATAAATGAATTCGATCAAGCTATACGTAGGTATGTTTGTTTGAATAAAGTGCAACGTTAGCATAATTCAACGTCTGCCATAAGAAAAACCGGCTACCACTTTCACATGTGCACGACGGACAAGTTTTTTTTGCAATAATAAGTTTGAACCATTACAAAAGTTTCGTCAAAATAAAAATTTCATTATATATATTTGTTATGACTGAATATATAAGAGCATGTAGATCCAATCAGGCTTTAGCATGCATGTTCTCTGTTACATATTAGCCATACAAACATATTAAGCTTCATTGCATTCAAGATTTACTTGAATACAATTAACTCGTGTAACGCTAACGAAGTACATATTTGCAAGAGATAAACAATTTGTAATTATGGAAAGTGTAAGTTATACACATAATCCAAACATAAGTTATAAGCTGGGTGCTTAGAACTTCAAGTGTATGTATATAAGAACCTGTTCATATGAGCCGGGCTGGCCCGCTTTACCGAGCTAGCCCGCAGTAGCAAGATCTCACCTCTTTTAGTATTTAGATATAATTTTAAATTTGATTCATATGAGCGAGGTGCTGGCCCGTTTTGCCGGGATGTCCCTTAAACGAGGCAAGATCTCGGCATAAAATGGGTTCACGTGAATGCACAAGGCGGGCTAGACCGGCATGCGGAATTAAACATTCTATTAGTGCGCATGCTCATAAAATTCAATGCGATGCAAAAGATAGGTCAAGCAAAAGAACAACTTTCGGTGGACTATAGATTAATAAATAACATCGTTGAGTTTCTTTAAGCTTATAAAAGTAACATAAAGTATCGGGATTTAGACTTTTATGCGGCGTGCGTAAATAACTATTACTGTACATTGTTGGGCTAGCACGCCTCATGTAAATAAAATAATAAACTGGTCCGGCAAAGTCGGCCAGCCGGCTCATATGAACAGGCCCTAAACTAATAATAATTCATTATTTATTGACATCACATTTCTTTGACATAAAGGCAGCCGTCATATTATGTCACCGACCAACGAAAAAGCAGATTTTGCTATTTTATGATATGCGATCGATATCCACAAGTTTGGAGTGAGGACAAGATCATGAAAGCTCTATTCATGTATGTGAGTATTCATGAAGAATAGGTTGGTTTCAGCTGATAATAAAAGAGTTTAATTATTTGAGATCTAGTAGGTAGCCATTTTATGCTCGAAGTTTCGTCCAATGAATTTGCACTATTACAAGTTCTGCTTGACTATGCAAAGGTTAAAAGACGAATTTTGCGCCACTATTTTATTGTATATAGTCAAACCTTGATGTAAATCAACTTGCACAAAAAGATTTCTTTTGTCTTTAGTATGAAAAGCAATTTTACTATTTATAAGGAACAACAGACACAACAGTTTGTCTACAATTTCAAACTGACAATATTGCATCACTTGAAACATAGCCACCATCAAGGTATGTAGCTATAAGCCTCTACCTCACAAATTGACCGAAATTATCCATTTCTAAAAGTAGCTTGTGTTGATGTTCTTATTTTTGGTTTCAGCAAGCTATTGACATTGATAATTAATTCATTCTTTAGTTTCAAAGGAAGCGTAATAAACACAAACGTGGCAATTATAAATATATACTTTATAAAGATATTAGTTGAAGTAATGTCAGTTGTTGTATATTCCTTAAAATGATTAATTTCTCAGTAGTCTACAACATGTCTTTTTCTTTATGTATGTACGCTCATGCCTTATTTAAAACGTGATCTTTTAGAGCACCTGACATCGATGATCTAACTTGAATTAGTTGAATATGCCAGTATTGTATCGATTCTCTTGGCCTTTGCAAGCAACACGACAATTTTACAAGACGTTTAATAAGAACTTGTATTTTCAAAGTGATTAACAAATCATTCCTCTTTAAAAGTGAGATATTTTCCTCTGCTGCATGATGTTACGTTCTGACAAAAATCTTCTAAACTAGTCCCACTGATATTCACTACGTTTCTGAAGATTGCAGAGCGAGCATTCTGGGTACAATGGCTGGGTACTGCAAAATAAAATTAATACGCATGCGCATCATTGCTTTTCTTTTTAGCGCGGTTTGTCAACGAGAACGACGCTGACTATTTTTGCTTTAAATTACTCATTTCATTCCTAATGATTCGGACATGACTTTAATCCACCAAGACAACGATAAACTGTTTCAGCAATGTGATTATTTTCTTCAACATTTATAATTTTGATTCCGTGTTGTAATGTTGTTTTATTTATTTGCTATTGGTAGAGGATAATTAAGCCACTGATATGTAAACTAAACTGGACTATTTATCCACGTACATATATAGTAGGCTATGTGAACAAAAACGCTTCTCCCTACGGCAAGGAAACTATTGAAGCCAAAATTAACCCATCCAGTCAAGAAATTGTTGACAAACAAAAGAAAAAACAAGCGAAATGTTACCACCGTGGCTGCAAGCCATTAATAGATCTCAACCCAGGAGAAACAGTGCGTATACGACCAGATCAGACGTGCAGGACATAAAGGAAAGGAGTGTGTAACCAGAAGTTTGCACCCACGTCGTACCATGTTATTTCGGAAGGCTAAATATGCAGACGGAACAGAAGACATCTGGCGTCCGTTAAAGAAAGGGAAAGATTGATAAAGAGCGTACTGAGAAAGAAAAGGAACAATCTGAGTCCGAAGACCCAAATGAGCAACCGGTGCAGCCAAGTTCTCTACGCAAGACACGTCCACAAATGTCAGTATAGAAACCAATTAGGCACGACTAGAAACCGACACATCGGACACCTCAGTCAAAAGAAAACTTCTATAGGACATACATTACAATGAACGTTCTACATGTGATTACCAATTTTTATGAAAACTACTCTTAGGTCCTTCAAATTATAACCTTGTTTTGTTCCTTATGAGGAGATAGATGTAAAGATATAAATTATCAAACATAGTACACCGGGCCTTTTGACCGGATGTACTGTAGTGTGGGGAGATTCTAACGCCTTCTAAATTGTGTAAGTTTTCCTAGGACTACGTGCAATGATGGGGCTAGAACGTCGGTCCTTGGTGAGTCCTAGGTCAGGCTTGATGTGTTTACACTGGAGGCCAATCAGTCCTTGGTAAGTTGCGGGACCGCAGTGTAAACGCGGTTTATATATGGTGTGCAACCATTCTCTTTGGAAGGAACAAGATTGCTGGCTAGCCAGATAATAAACAATTGTTTGGATGAGGTTGAGCATTATATCAAAAATTATTCAGACAAAGGTCAATGTTATCTGCAGAAGCAAAGCTGAGGCAGAACACGTTGCCGAGGTCTGAATAATTTTTAAAATCATAGCTACGAAAATCTAGTTCAATAATTATTTCATTATTCACTTTAACTAACTGAAATATTATTAACACATATCAATATAAAACATTTTTCAAACCTTCGTTAAATTTTTTTGTCAGCTGGTTTATTCAAGTTCATCTTGTTTAAATATGTTGTAAGCACGTTCAAAGCCATCTTCGCCGCTTTTTTAGTGTTTTCTGGATGCTTCTTGTTTTAAAGCTTTTACATCGTTTTTAGAAACTGTGGAAAACATCGCTATGATTTGACTTTTTTTCAAAACCGGCTTTTAATGACGTCCATAATTGTAGAAACTGTTATTTGTAAATAGACGTCTTACCTACAGATATGTAGAATTATTTGCAGGAAGTTGACCAATCAAAAGCGACATTGCTTACATAGTGAATAACGATGTAAGATAATTGCATGAAATGCATGATACACCAAGATTGCGTGGAACGAGGCGAAAATATAGAATTATCGACTTACAGAGCAATATCTAAGTAAAAAATGAGTGAAAAGACGTATCCCCTGAAGACGTATCCCGGAATATTATCCCCTGAAGAGTGAGAAATCACGAAACAGGCTTGTCGGGATGAAATTGTAGTTTTTGTGTATTTTCTTTTTCTCATCAATATAAATATATTATATATATTTATACATATTTATAAGGTTAAATAGTTGGAATGTTATGAAACAAAGAATAATAGCATAATGTTTAACCAACTAACAATAACGACCTTATCTAACAACATTTGAAAATTTAACTTCCACTCCTCTTCCTTGTAAACAAGACAAGTCTACTCAAAAGCAGAGAGCCTTACTTACAAGTCCTGGGCTTGTGACCAGTATGGCAGTGTATAACTCTAGGACTAAAAGTAATAGGAGTGGAAGGTTAATTTTTCAAATCTTGTTAGATAAGGTCGTTATTGTTTATAGTTCTTGGACAGAGCATTATGCTATCATTTTTTTATTTATACATATATAAATAATCTGGGCATTGAGGCCTGAATTTGCAATCATATATTACAGGCTTGCATGCATTTTATATAAAAGGTTTTAATGTTCATTTAAGTCCACATAATTTAGCAATGTTTCAGGCGCATGCTCATTACTTGTTTACAAAGCTTCAATTGAATTTTCATTTAATCTTAATGATACGGTAAGCACAATCCATGAATGATCTCTTATTGTAAGTCAAAAATTGTTGTTGTATGGTGCAACTTAATGATTCACACAACAAAATGATTTTTATGTTCGTTCAATGTATTTTGTTGTAAGTATGTAAGATCAAATGGATTTCATTTTTTAAGATCTAACAAGACTTTCGCTCAAAATCAACCGTTAAAATATCTATGTTTTTCCCAAAATTGCAGACCTGTCTACGCAAACTCGAATCATTCCAACGTATAATGCATATATCAAAATATTGCTTAGAAATTTGTCCATCAAATGTTTATATTTACTTATTGACTCACCAGAATATGCACCAAGACTTAACTGATATTTATGTGTTTCATTCTTTACAGCAAAATAATCATATTCAGCATATGCTTTGTTTCCTGACCAGTCTCCCAAGTCAACACGAAGTTTATTTCTCTTGGCTGATGTTAGTCGGTATATTTTATCCAATCCAAGCCAGAATTCAAAAGTAAGATTACCAAATCCTTGTGTATAGTTTTTCCAATTTCGATAAAAGTCTACACTTCCATCTTGACGTCTTTGAAACACAGTCCAACCTCCACCAGATGTCTTCATATCACAGAAAACATCGAAATAACCCTGGCCATCTGGATCAATTTGATAAACTCCGTTCTTTTTTTTACCTTTTTTGTAAAGATCTGCACAGTTTTTTCCCTGAAAAAAAGTTTTATTGAAAAAGCTATTGCATTGTACGTCTTATGGGATTGTAACTCATTAAACCTATACTACTAGCAAATTGCTACACAGCTTTCCTGCGCATAGATCCATTTTGCTAAATAACTATTTTGTACATTATATACCAAAGTTGTTTTCGATTATATAAACTCAACACAGTTTAATTCAATAGAAAAAAATTAACAATATAAAATAGCAAGTTTTCAGATATGAGTAACTTTCATAATAACATTTTAGAATTCCTTATATGGTCATAAACGTGTAGTTGTTTACGTTCTCTATCTCTGGAGTTAATCTCAATGCTGACTTAGCATTTTAAGTCCTGTTTTATACCACAGGAACACCTACCAACTCGCTCGATTTTATTGGCTTCACCTAAATCTTAAGACAAATCTTCTAAACGCCAGATTTTCAATCACTTTCACCCTTCTTTATTGACATGTAGATGGTGAAAAAACTTTGAACAAATCAGGTTGGACTGGGTATTTAATATCCATAAATATTTATACATTTTATATGTTATGCACCCAAATTTTCCACGCATTTTCTTTTCATGAACAAGAAGTCCACTTGGGTTTTCTCTGTTTGCTTTTTCTTACAAAATTCCCTTTTATGAATTCTTCTGTTTATAAGTGCGTTTGTTATTACAATTCTCAATTAAACACTTACTCAGACTTGATTCGATAAAATTTTTTTACCAAATACATGTGATACGAAAAATTTCAAGCAGGAGAAGTGATTAAATCTCTGGTTAACTGAACATTTGCTTTAAGATTTAGATGACAGTCGACAAATTTGGGGAACTGGCAGGTCTGCCTTCCTATGATATCATGGTAAAAAAAACATTAATTGATGCTTTATAAACAAGCGACTGAAATAAACAGTGTAGCTTACTTTTTTGCTCATATCATGCCAGTCTATGTTTTGATAACTTTTCATACATAAATTATGCCTCTCTAACCCTTTCCTAAACATTCGAAATTAGCTACCGCATTGCTTTCTTTGTTAAAACAAGGAGGTCACAAAAAGAACAGTTAAATGCACTGACGAAGAGATATTTTTTAAAAAAATCTTTATTTCTAGGTATTTAATTGCCATATAATTTATGAATGAAAAAAATGCATTAAATTGGTTGATGTTTTGCTTGCTTACCATGTATATTCCATTGTGTCTTATACTTTTTCTGTAAAGATCTGCGCAATCTTTTCCTGATGGTTATAAAAATATTGGTTAACACAAAGAAATTAAATGAAAGATATTGTTTTAATTGAACAAATATTACTCCTTACTCGAATCTATAAGTGTATTTTCTTTTTTTAAAATCATTCTTACCTTTTTCCGAGATATTTGTAAGTTTTTCATTTTCCATGTAAAGTGTTTTCAATTGTTTTTCAAGACTTTTCAACTCGGTTTGTAATGTTGCCATTTGTGCATCAAGTTTTTTCATTTGTGACGACAGATCAATCATTTTCAATTCGACTTTCTTAATTTTTTGTTGTAGTTTCACTAGTGTATATTTTTGTACTTCTGTCCTATTGATTTTGTGTTTAAGAATTAACTTAAATGTTTGAAGATGTTTTTTCTCCGTCTGTAGATTTTTGTGATATGTTTGAAGTGTTTTTATTTGTCTGTCTATTACTGCAATTTGTGATTTCAAAGTTGCATTGTTTTCATCGGATTTTATGGCGCGTTTCATGTCATGGCTGAATTTTGAGTAGAAATCTTTTAAAACATCTTCCTTTTCATTTGTTAATCTCACTCTGCAAAAGTAAGATCATTAAAGTGAGTCATGGAAAAGTTTTCAGATGAAATATTTCACACTATGAGCAAGGAATTGAGGCAGACTTATATTAAATACATACATGACATAGCTAACAACCTACTAAAAAGATGTAATGCATATAAAAGTCTTACTCCTCCAATACACAACTTGAATAAAAAAAAAACTTTGTTGAGATAATTTGAAAAACCTTAGTTTACGGTATCGTAACTTGCAAAGCTTTGATCATGTTTGTATACTGCCCCAGCACTGAATATTAACTACAACTCGACAACTTGTGCAAAAAGATTATTCAAATTTAAAAAGAAATACGCCTTAGAGGCGTTTCTAATATGGTCTTCATAGCTTTCAATGATCACATTAAACATTTCCAAGTTCTTCTTTGCCCTAAGCCATAGCTTACCCTTGAATATTAACAACGATGCAGGTAATCGCCACCAATGCACAAATAAAGCTCACCATCTTGTCTTGTCTTAAATGTCTTACAAATAAACACTTTAGGTTGAGATGAGGATCGAGGCTATTTATATACGTGGGTGTCCAGCATGAATAAATTGTGAGGATAAAGAAGCCTTTACAAAGTTACACAGACTAATTTATTTCAGCATGTAATTGAACTGCTTTAAATATTTTAAATATGTTGAACAATTTGCACACATAGCCACAAACTTGACATTGTTTTAATTTTAAAGTCGAATTCACTAAACATGGAAGAAGTTTACAAAACTGACTCAAAACTTAAAACTCGGTAGTTTTGAAGGATTTTGCAACATAACATTTACTCTTTAATAAATAGGCCTTTATTTATCATAAAACAACAACACTAGCTGATTAATATAGAATTAATGAATAAAGACGTATTGTGAAAGTGTGGTAACAAGCTGTTAAATACGTTGTACTTCATTGATAGCTTGCTTGCGATGTTATAGATTTTTTAATAAAAAAAAGTTTAAAAATAATGAAGAGTTTTAATAATAGATAGCACAAGGCATTGCAGTGAGCACTGTGTTTTGCTAAAAAAAAAAGCACCAATATTATCAAAAATTTCCAATTAAATGCTATTCGTGACGCCACTCTATAAGGGAGCGACATCCAAAACAAAGCTTGCATTGATATAAAGACTGTTAATTAAAAATTGAAAAGATTTAACAGTAACCTTTGACAATTCTATTTTCATCGTTTGAATAGGATTCAGCAAAATGTGTGTTAAAGAGTACGTATGCTGTATGTTGTTGATGTTAAGAAATAACAATGTTTTGGATACTGCTTGATATTGGTTGTTGTAGGGTCGACTTAATTTAAAAACTTTACATCAGCTACTTTCTTTTTGAAGAATTACTTAGCTATTTAAATGCACTTGTTGAACTGATTGGAGACTTAGCAGCGTGGAGCGCCGTATACGTCAGAGGAAATTACTTTTTACGTCATATCATCAAAAAAATTTGAGCTTGCTGTTTACAAAATTAAAGTTATGTTCAATGTTTATGTTACACAGCATGGCATTTAAAAACAATAAAAAACACGCACAATTTTGTTTTCTCGATGATTTTGAAAGTGATATGGAAGGCAATCCAACCAATAACATTCGTAATAAATTAAATGGTTTGAACCCGAGAGTATCGTTACATGTTTGTGGATGTAGATCGTCCAAGCTAGTAGAGTCGTGAGAAGGACTATTGTTGTTGATGTTAATTGACGTTTTGACAACCGTATAGTGGTAAGCCATTTCAGTTTTTAGCCTGAATAGTCGGCCAATGAAGATCAAGAAGGTTACCAGTCAAATGAGAATAGGAATTTGAGTATGTTGATCATCAGCACTAACCAAGCATCAACATTTGATGACGAACCATGGTGTGCCATTCTACAACAATGAGTTAAAAATAAGAGTAACGTTGACAGATGTTTTGTAATTATAGAGATGCAAGGTTGGATCAGCGCCCACTGTCAAAATAAATTATAAATGTATTCGATCAAGCTATACGTAAGTATGTTTGTTTAAATAAAGTGCAACGTTACAATAACTCGACGTCTGCCGTAAGAAAAACCGGCTACCACTTTCACACGTGCACGACGGACAAGTTTTTTTTGCAATAATAAGTTTTGAACCATTACAAAAGTTTCGTCGAAATAAAACTTTGATTATATTTATTTGTTATGACTGAATATGTAAGAGCACCTAGATCCAATCAGACGTTAACATGCATGTTCTCTTTTAAATAGTAGCCATGCCAACATACCAAGCTTCATTGCATTCAAGACTTACTTGAATACAATTAATTAAATGAAGATATGATCTTCGCACTTTGCTGGACAATTTAAGCAATCGTCTCAGGAACCTGAAAAAATCAGGTGACTCAACGGGATTGAATACAATTAACTTGTGTAACGCTAATGAAACACTTATTTGCAAGAGAAGAACAATTTGTAATTATGGAAAGTTTAAGTTATACACATAATCTAAACATAAGTTATAAACTGGGTGCTTACAATTTCTAGTGTATGTATATAAGGGCCAGTTCATATGAGCCCGGCTGGCCCACTTTACCGAGCTAGCCCGGCAGTAGAAAGATCTCACCTCTTTTAGTATTTACGTATAATTTCAATTTTGATTCATATATGAGCCGGGCTGGCCCGCTTTACCGAGCTAGCCCGCAATAGCAACATCTCACCTCTTTTAGTATTTACATATAATTTCAAATTTGATTTATATGAGCGAAGGGCTGGCCGGTCTTGCCGGGATGTCGCTTAAACGAGGCAAGATCTCGGCATAATACGGGTTCACGTAAATGCACAAGGCGGGCTAGACCGGCATGCCGTGTTTAACATCGTATTAGTGCGCATGCTCATAAAATTCAATGCGATTCAAAATACAAGGCAAGCAAAAGAAAAACTTACGGTGGACCATAGACTAATGCATAACATCACTGAGTTTCTTACAGCTTATAAAAGTAACATCAAATATCGGGATTTGGACTTTTATGCTGCGTGGGTAAATAATTATTACTTTACTTTGTCGGGCTAGCCCGCCTCATGTGAATCAAATAATAAACTGGCCCTGCAAAGTCGGCCAGCCCGGCTCACATGAGCATGCCCTAAACTAATAATAATTCATTATTTATTGACATCACAATTCTTTGACTTAAAGACATCCGTCATACTATGTCAGAGGTAAAATTTACTCAACAAACGTACCTTTAACTTCATCGATCAGATGCCTTTATTTTAACAGTCGGCGTTGATCTAACGGCAGTATAGAAACAAACAATACTTCCACTTTATAGAAATTTTTTGTGTAGCGCATATCTTATTACGCATGTAATAAGCAGAGTGGCAGCCAGTAATTTGCACTTTCTGACCAATAGGATCGCTAAGGTGGCCAGTCGCAGCCAGTAATTTAATTAAATATACAGCACAAAGTTACACGGTAAAGTGAGACTACTGTTTCTTTCTATAGACCAATTGCACCTACGTCATTAACATCTTAGCAATCGTTGCTAAGGCGCATCGGGAGGACAAGCGTCAGCACTGACAGGCTGACAGGACATGCACATGTTTTAAATATAGTATGGCAAATCTTTTTCCGAAAACCGATAAAGCCAAGAAAGGCTTGCTTTCTTGCTACACGAACTCATTTAATTCTGCCGACTGTAAAAAACACATTAGTCGGTAGCCAATCTTGCAGCATTTATAATTATAGGATTTACAAAACTTTAGATATATTATGAGTATAACTTACATTCTCCCACCATTGAAGAACTGCTTGTCCCTGGCAAAACTGTTGATATGTCGTTTTCCAATGCATTGAATTTTTACAATAGGCTTGGCCTTCAATCTAATATTTTGTCAGTGTCAAGTTGACAACATATCTAAAGTTGCAGCTATCTGAATAATTCTTCGATGATTAATACTTGGTTATTAAGTATGAATGATTTCAACAAAAAACTGCCATAAACTACTTTAAATGTAGTATATATGTTAATTTGGATATGTATGATAAACACAAATCATAAAATTATAAAGCTCCAGTGACATACTTTAATGTTGACAGCAGAGAACTTCGACAACATTGAAGTGAGCATACATAGAAACAGAGATATGTGAATTCAGCGTCCACTTCGTTCAAACACAATCAACTCTTTGTCATTCGAACTTTCGTGAGATTTTTCTTTGAGATGATATTAAATCACCACATATATTGCTCTTGTAAAGCAGTTAAATGCGATGTGGATATTGCGATTGTGGTTGTGTTTAGGGGTTTTATATTCTTGAATTGCAACCAACCTCCAGGGACTTATCGAACAATGTGGTTCACCCAAGATGGCTGATGCCCACAATAACACTAGTTAAATGCTTTTAAACGCGTAACTATGTAAGCATTGATAATGTGAAAAATCATTTCATGCCCAAGAAGACGAAAACAGTCACATTACAAACTCAAAAAGCCGAAGTCGTTTTGAGTATGATTTGATTACATCAGTTTCATTTAGATAAACATGTTAGAAACTCATATTTCATCAACATCATTGATTGAAACAATATTTTTATTATTTCATGAAATGATTACAGTTTTCTTGACTTCTATGATAATTTTTCACATTTTCTCATAGTAAACAACGAATGTAAATGTTTAAGACATATTACATGACGTATTGACATTGATATTGATCATTGTCATGAAATCATAAATATTTATGAAAATTCTTCATGGTTTGATTTTCATTTCACTGGTTTTCACGTTATTAAAACCATACCAAGCAAGATTTTTACCATTTAGTTGGAATAATAACAACTTTTATACCACCAAGCACCTTGCCAGTAAGCAGCGCAGCTTCCTTCATATTGGAATCTTTTGTTGAAAACGCCATGTCTTTATGATAGTTCAATGCATCCTAACATTTCCTGAAAAGTAGTAATGGCTCTTGAGCTCTGTCGTGATCTGTATTTTAAAGTACACATGAACACATTTTGGTGTTAATTATTCTGATAGATCTTAAAAAGTTATTCAGAAAATTCTAAATTTCATTTTGCGTATTTAAATTTCGGTGTTTCGATGGCCTGATTTAAACACGGGACTTCACCGAAAGGAGAACTCGTTGAAGTTATGTTATGTATAAATTTTTTTAGTCCAGGCTTACAATTTTACATGCTTTACAAGTAAAAATCTTTTCATCTCACGGAAATTTACAAATATACCGTTTTGTTTGCGCTGTGATGCTTGCGCCATTCCCTTTCTTGGTTATATAAAGATAAAACAAAAGAAATTCTACATAAAAGTGCTTAAATGCGAGCTGTACTTGTAGATAATATTCAGACAATCGTTCATCTTTCGCAAGAAATTAAATTTTTCAATTAAAAATATTCTTGACAATGTATGGTAAATTTTTTAGCTGTAAAGGTGATATCTTTGTTGTTATTGACATTCTTTACGATAACTAGCAACGGAAACTAAAACATTTCTTACCCCCTTTTGCAGGTGCCAAGGTCTTTATGCAAAAGTAAACTTTGATTTAAATAATTTAAAAGCCTAAAGCAGTGTTTCAACAAGACAAAAATACTTTTTTAATAATGTATCACTGTTTGTTAAGCTCTATTATGAGTTTAAAAGTAAAGAAATACACAAAAATGCATTTTTCCAGTGTATGATCCAGTGTAATGATATGATCCAGTGTAATGACGCCAAGGCGCGAAACTTTATAAGATTATTCAACTACATAATGAAAATCATGTTAAAACCACGAGAAGTTAAACTTGAATCCTAACTTCATTAGTATTTTCTCTAATAGCATAATTTTTAATTTTGTAAATATGCATTAAAGATGACCTTTAAGCGAAAATCTAAAAGGTAAGAATTCTAAAATTTTTTACTTGATTCCAATTTGTACTATCACTACTATGGTATGGCATATGGGTGAAACAAGTTTTAATGTTGGTTGACAATATTGGTGATTAATAAAGCAGGTACGATTTTAATATTAGAATTTATTATTTTTATTGCCTATTATGTTATATTTTTTAGATGTTGATCGTCCAGCTTTGTGCAGTCCTGAAAAGAATTCTTGGTGTTGATTTGTTACTTGACTCTGATGATCAAAGGATGTCAAAATGTCAATCATTACCAACACCAACAGTCGTTTTCAGGACTGCTCTAACCTTGAAGATCTCCATCTACAAGCATTTAGCTTTACCCGTGTTTTATTTTTCACCATCATCTCTTGCAGGAAAGGGAGAAAAAATGTTAATTATACTGATATGAGCTCCAATTGTGAAAGTGATGGTAATGTATTGTACATACAGTGATCTCATAGTTACGTAGCTATTAATGAAAATTATAATTGCTCTGTTTTACAGTAAAGTATGTGGTTATACACTCTGGTTTACATAGGTAGGAGAAGGGTACATTTTATATTGGATCAGTTTACATGTACCTACATAGACACTGTTCAAAAATACTGATGCAACAAATGTGAATGTAGGCCCCACAATTATTTACTGGCTGCATGATTGATCTAGTGCACTATTAAACATTTTACATTGTTTTATTGTGAAAAGTTGAGATTATTAATTTGGTAGATATGCAATAAATATATACGGGGATCCATACTTTACTTCCTTTTCAATGTCATGCCTGCATGTTCTATAGATTTCTCTTGTTTTAAATTGCTAAGTTTTTGTATTTATGACTTCATGATATGTTTCAGATGATTTTGAAGTTGATTTTGAACCACAAACAAAGAAGGCGAAGCATAAAGAGAAGGAAATGAACAAAGAGAAGAAAGGCGAGAGAAGGTGTGACCAAAAATAGATTTTAATTTTGGCTAAAGGGCATCATGCTGTTTTACACAGATATTATAGTAGATCTCTAATCCTTTATAAGCCTTTGTTTTGCCTTGTGTAATCCAATGTACACACTAATTTCTTCAATGTGTGATACAACAACGTCATGAGATTTTTTCTATTGTAAGGCCTTCCGTTCGTGAAAAGTTGTACCAAAGAGATATAGAAAAAGCAATTGAAATGTCACTAATAAATACACCTTATGACAGAAAGGATAATGATGTTGGACAAAATGAAAGCAGTCATATCAAAATAAATAGTGAAGGTATCGGTATGTAAAATTATAAATGAAACTGTGAAAAGTGATTACATCATGAAAGAGGAAAAAGGTTGGGAAGCTGCCCTAATCTACGCAGTAATGAAGTAAATCCAATTCAAACAATGATTTTAGAATTTTAAAGTTTTTCATTGTTAAGCATTATATAATGCTGTCTTACATTGACCTCAAATTCACATTTTTAGTAAGACTCTTTTCCCCATCACAAAGCCCTTAATTTTAAACTCATAATGTTTACAGAGTAATCAGTCAAAAGCACAAGTTTTGAAAATGACAACTTTGTTATACTGTCCTAAATGAGGACAGAGAAGGATTTTCTCAGAGTTTTATAAACTAGTCACCACTCTTAGTGGTCTGAATTTAACTGTTGAATTTAGGCACATAGTAGCATATATCCATCAATCACAGTTATAACTGGGTAGCCTTAAAATTAGGAATGTTTAAAAGTGCGGACATATGAAGGTGTGTATGGATGAAGGTGTGTATGGATGAAGGTGTGTATGTATAAGGGGGGGTATTTATAAAGTTAAGGATGTATCAAGTTGTGGATGCATGAAGGTTTGGATGTATGATGGTGGGGATGTATGAAGGTAGGGTGGGGATACATAAAGGTGGAGTGGGGATTTATGAAGGTGGTGATGTATGGATGAAGATAGTGATGTACATATGAAGATAGTGATGTACCTATGAAGATAGTGATGTGTTGCATGTAGTACTACTTTCAATGGTGTGATGAACTTTCTAATTGACTTTTTGCATGGTATTGTAGTGTGTGATTCAAAATGAAAATACATGATCATTATTATGTAAGATGCAGTACCATGTACGTATAATGCTGATTGTTCTCTTACTCATTTAATCTAATTAAGATGATGATGCACGTGACACCTGCGATAAGAGTAGTGCTAAAGTGAACAAGATTCATGACAATGATGTCGAAAGTGATTCCAATGAAGAGAAAATTGTGAACCTGAAGAACGGCTAGAAAATGTCTGGTGGGACTCATATGTTTTCCGGTGGGCTTTATTTTTGTATTTATAAAAATTGTCATTGATTTCAAGTGTCCTAATTGCATATAATGAAATAACCAAAATGCAGTTGGCATGATTATACAATCAAAATCTCAAAACAGTTTGATACACACGTAATTGCATTTGCTCGCAGCTTGTCTTTCGTGTTATTCTTATTAGTTTTTCTTCTGACAAGTGCTTATAATAACAAATTTTGATACACATTTGTTTTAAAAGAGTCATCCGACTACAAATGCACCCTGTTGTTGGTACAAAGGAGAAAAAGTCATCACCTATAAATTCTTCCAAAGAGAACTTTGACATTTGAAAAATGAAGGAAAATTTCCACATTTTCTTGCGTTGGTACAAAGGAGAAAAAGTCATCACCTATAAATTCTTCTAAAGAGAGCGTTAAGCATATGAAAATGAGGGACAATCTCAACATTTTCTTCACCTAAACTGTTTACAAACAAAACCAGCGGTTCTTTTTTCTTGGCGGTGTTAAAATTAAGAATCCAGGTCCGCCATTACGTGTACTATCAAGAAACCATAAAGTAAAACCACTTCACAATAACGTTACGCTTTCTCAATAACAACTTACTTACACCAAAATATTTTATCTCTGTTTTAATAAAATATGTGAAATGAGTTGTAGGTGATTTGTAAATATTTCAATGTATAATAAACATTGTAATTATACACTAAAAAAAAACTCAAAACATGTCGTTATGGCCAATTGTTGGAGAGTGTAAAGTCAATCTATGAAAACCACCAACTAAATAGTATTTGGTAAGCCTTCCTCCAGCCATGCTATATACCTATGAAGGATTTTTTAGGCTTTCACGTGATAATTTCCGCAAGCAATGTGGGTACTCTCCCACAGTTCATTCTTGGGATTTTAGTTTTGGATCATAGTTTCCACAGTTCTTACTCTCTACATAGTCACTGACATTTCTTTAGCTGTAACCCACTTCACTAGCTAGTTCGCTTTTGGAGTAGCATTGATCTTTCGACCTCACCAATACCATTCCACGACATTCAACATTGATTCGTGGCTTTGGACGTATAATTCAGTAATTTGTCTAGATTCTTCTTATCCACTAAATAATTTTTCTTTCACTAAGTGCTGTTGGAATGAAGTTCGACTATATATGTCTTAAAGTGAATGGTTTGAACCGGGGAACTCTGAAGATGACTACCGCTAAGGTTGTCGAAACGTCAGTCAACATCAACACGAACAGTCCTTCTTAGGACTTTATTGTCATTGGTGATCTACATCGACAAACATGTATATATACGTCAAATGTCATTTGTGACTGTTGTAGGACATCTAACCGTGGTTAAATATAATTAACAACAGAATGTGAATTTGTATTATAGGCTATAACGTCTTCCCAAATAAAATAAGAAAATTGAGCAGTTCTTTTGACAGTTGAATGGTGAAATTATACGGTCTATTACAAATTGTAAGAGAGAAAGTCGTTTGAAACTTAGTTTTGGCTTGCGCTTGTAGCCAACCATTGTATCATTTGCATATTTAAATTATTGGTTCTCTCTTGCACATTAAGTATATAACTTTCACGCAAATGCCCTCAAGAGCGTTAACTGTACCTCATAAAAATGTTTCTACCTTTTTCAAACTTATTTCTGATTCATTTTTGTATACAATACGTAATACAATTATATGTCTTTCAATACTGGCTCCTTAAACTTATCCATACTAAATTCCATCACTATTGTCTATAAAATGATTTAAAAGTGGCAGGTTTGCATGTCTATCCTACGACTTAAAACTTTTGCCATTAACCTTAAATGATGCCCAAGTATTGACATGCAAAAACTGGTATTTGCGATAGATTTCAATTGTCTCGGTTGCCTGTTTTGACCAAAACTTCCCAGTGATCTCAAATATATATGCATGTTCTACCTTGGTTGCTCCTAACAGTCGATTCATTTCAATTGAATTCATGATCCACGTTTAGATATACTAAAAGCATAGAAACCTACATTATCTTGTATTTTTAAGCTTTTGTAAGTTACGAGAAAAATAGGCATGTGTATATGTTTTCAAAGTTCCTTTGTCGACGCATCCTTGTAAAAATCTCACTTTTGAAATATGTTTTTCCATATCTGTACATTATCATACATTAGGGCATTGTCAATCGCTTAAAAAATGTTTTTGGATAAAGAAACAACAGTCTCAACCTCAAGGCCAATATATGTCAAAATGTCATTATACGAAGTTTGCATTCTGTACAGTTCTTGCTCGCTGGGTTAGATTGTCCATCTTCTAAATGTGTTTTTCTCGCGATATGACTCTAGCCAGTCACGTGCTGCTTTCATTGATGAATTCATTGGTCCCTGTCCACCCACGTATGCGACTTTACCTTCTTCGAGGGCGTAAAGTCTCTCAGGCAACGCTCCATAGGCCACATTTGCATTGTCATCCATTGTATCTACCATTATTTGACATGGAAGATTGAGTTCTTGTAGCTTTTGCGCGGCTTTGCATCTTTCATATTGATTTCAATGCTTTCGTACTTTGATAAAGTTATTCTAAAATGAAGTGAAATTAGCTTCCTTCATGACTTTATCAAGAAATCTTAAGACATGTTTTTCTCTACACAAAACATTGTCAAATGTAAGGGACGATTCTTTTTCAAACAACATCTTTGTTTTTGCCTAATGAAAGTATAGTTCAACAGAAGTTCACTATTTCTGCCTTTGAAAAAGGTCCCGTTTTTATCAGTAAGATAAAAAAGCCATTATTATGTCAGCAGAGCATATTGTCTGGCTATATAGCCTACTAAAATGTTATGAGTGTTTGCAAAAGATTTTTACCTGATGAAATTTATATGCTTCGTTATTATTATTATGGTTATACAAAGAATGTTTTATAAATCACGAAATTGCTGTAGCCGTTTAATTTCTCTTTCATAATATACTGAAAAAACTATTCTTCATAATGAATAACGTAGCTATCATATAACTCTACGATTTTCATCAATTCAAAATTATGTTGAAGAAATAAAGGAATTTACCTTGAAAAACCATCCATCAATTGGATGAGCTTCTTCAATATATACAACGACAAAATCCACGATATCTGAAAAGTCTTGTGCTAGAACACCAAATTCTTTCAGTTTATTCCTAAACACTGGGCAACTACAACTGCCAAAGTACACGACTAATGCTCTCTCAGCTTGAAGTAAATCAAGTAAACGCACACATTTCTTTCCATCGGGTGTTACCAAGGGAACATTTTGTGCCTCCAGTCCGTTTCGCATTTCCTTTGTAATATCGACAACTCTTGATTTCCAAACTGACTTAAACATTTCCCATCCAAGAAATGTTTCCCAGTAGTTGGTTTTAGGGATATTTAATCCCGTCACTTTTCTCATACCATTCTCGAGCACAAACCCTAAACCTAGTTATTCATGAAAATCATAAAACATTAATCATGATCAATTTGACAGAAAAAAGGAAGAGATGCCATATATTGGTGTGAGAGTTAGTGCACCATTATAACGCTTTTTTGTTGTGTGAAAGGACGTACTTGTTTATCAAGACAATATGTATGTGATTAGAAAAACGTTTTATGGTTGATTGGACAAGCAGCACAAAGCCCACATTTGAATTTAAGAACAGTCCAAATGCACACAAAATTTTATGTTGCCCAAAATACGTATGAACTAGCTGTCTAACATAAGATTGTATTACATTCATATCTATATACAAGTATCCATAATGTATATGCCATTTTAAACTACGAATTCCGAAATTTTATGTGAACTTGTAAAAGCAATTTGATCCACCGTTACTAGCTTGACCATTGTTCTGCGATGTCTAAATTTTAGGCCCCCTTTACAGAGCTTACAAGCTTTTTACTTCTGCTATCTGTATATTGAGTTTATAAAATTTTACATCTGTAAGGTTTGTAAATTTTAGCTTGAGCTTATTTGCCTGCATTACAGGAAAAAATGACCGAAGAAACGAATGATTGTTATGGTTAAGGCGTGACATATAAACAACGTAGGTTTCTCACCTGGAATATAATAAAATATGCTACAAATAGCAAAAATGACTGTTACTTCAACGGTAACCCAACATTTAACTGCGATCCTGTACATGCTTTCACCTTTCATGTCTGTCTTGCTTGAAGTCTATGTGACTGGGAAGATTTCGATTCATTCATTTAGTGTATTTGAAAGTTCTTAATTTGCATTTTTATTCTTTTAAAAAGCGTAAAATCACGGTATAATATTTCCTGTTCTCTGTTTTCATGGGACATTTCAAATGCCAGGAATAACTGAATACACATGAATAACGGACCAACAACCAGAAATTTTCCCTCACATAAAAATTCCATGCCTGATCCTTGAAAGAAAAGTAAAATGTATGCGAGACATGTTTTGAAAATTTCGTGCAAAGAAATCATGTCATAGCAAAATAACATGGTATAAACTTTAATATTCAATGCAAATGACGTAGATACGATAGCGTTAGTGACGTTCGTAAAATGACCACTATTGCATTTGATAGTTTCATCCGTGCCAACAAATGTTTGTAACGATGGAAAGCATCAAGGAAGAAAATTCAGAACATTCTTTACTCTATATAGGCATAGACGTTTTAAAGCATTTTTATATTCAATGAATGCAATCGAACTTACCATAAAAGGACACCCTTGAGACCAAGACTTGGTGTTCTGTTGTCAGAGGTGTCCGCTTATGAGATGTTTGTTAATTTTGGCATAATTATAAAAATTTTTTTAAATATGACTGTTTTTACAATGTTTTGAAATATGATTATATGCTTTATAACGACTGAAAAGTCCAACATCTGTACAGTGAAACGTTTGAGTCCATAGACGTTATCATATAACAAATTCATCATGTATATTGTCATTGTACAGACACAATGCTTAAAGTTCACATGACATGAAAAAATTTTCTTTGAGGAACATAAATGCTCAAACCTGGAGAAAAAACTATAGTGGTTCATGAAGAAAAATGAAGTATTGCTGCCCGTCGAAACGACGATGGCTGTCTGCAAAAGTCCATTTAGTTCACTGACTTCCACAAGCGCGCTCGTGACTTAACATGCCAATGCGGCTTGCGCAGGTCCTGTTGCAGTGTTGGCAACGAAATTCTCCCGAGTCTGCGACAGTGGAGGCGTTCCTGGTAGCGTGACGTCTTGATCGTTTTACAGCGTTGCTCTGCCGCCTCAAATCATCCTTCTTATTGAGACCTTTACGTGACTTGTCTCTCCAGTCGTATCGATCCGCCGCTTCGAGTTGCCAATTATCTATTGAAATTTGACATGTTTTCAAAGTGTATTTGAGAAAGTCTTTCCAACGCAGGAGCGGACGACCAGTACGTCTCTTTCCTTCAGCGAGCTCTCCAAAGAGTAGCTGTTTGGGTAATCGATTGTTTGCCATGCGAGCAACATGACCAGCCCACCTTAGCTGCATTTTGGCGAGGGTAATCTCAATGTCCATGGAGTTGGCTCTCGTCAGAACTTCGTCATTCGTTACTTTTTGTTGATAGGAAATGCGGAGGATTGCGCGTAGGTGACGTTGTTGTAGCTGACGGAGACGTGTGACGTGTCTACGGTATAACGTCCACGATTCGGCACCATACAAGAGAGTCGACAGTACCACTGCATTATACACGGCGATCTTTGTAGTAACTTTAATGTCATGCGAAGACCACAGACGTTTCCATAGCCTGCCGAATGACGAACTGGCACACTGTATGCGGTTGTCAAGTTCTTTGTCAATGGAGCAGTCGCTGGTGACAGTACTGCCAAGATACTTGAAGGATTGAACGTTTGTGAGCGGAGTGTCATTGGCAGTGATCGGGGATGTTATCGGTGAGTACGAGAGAGACATGACTTCTGTTTTCTTCGTGTTGATGATAACGCCAAAGGATTTGGTGGCAGCCTCGAAGCTATCCATCATGCACTGAAGGGATTCCTCCGAGTTGGCAACAAAAACGCAATCATCTGCATATTGAAATTCTCTCATCAGTGTCCGCGTGCATTTGGTGCTGGATTGGAGGCGACGAAGGTTGTAGAGCGAGCCATCCATCCTGTATCGTATGTATATGCCTTCTTCAGGTATGTTTTCAAAGGCATATGTGAAGAGAGCAGTCGCAAAGAGGGAGAAGAGGGTGGGAGCAAGTATACAACCTTGCTTCACTCCATTGTTGTATTGAATGTCACGAGTCAACTCGCCGCCTACCGAGATCTTGACGCACATGTTGATATGTAATAACTTTAAGATATTGACAAATTTTGGTGGGCAGCCCATTTTTACGACGATGGTCCATAGTGCCTCACGGTTCACAAGATCAAACGCTTTGGTAAAGTCAACAAAAGTCATGTATAGCTTTTGGTTCTGTTCTCTCGATTTCTCCATGAGCTGTCGAAGGGCGAATATCATATCAGTCGTTGCACGATTTCGGCGGAATCCACACTGGGTTTCTGGCAGTACTGCTTCGGCAATAGGATCGCGCATTCTGTTTAGCAACATTAGAGCGATTATTTTCCCGGCTACAGCCAACAGACTGATGCCTCGATAATTGTTGGGGTTATGACGGTCATTCTTCTTGAAGATGGTGATAATGTTTGCATCACGGAGTTCAGCAGGAATGGTCTCATCGGACCAGATCTTTTCAGTTATGCCATGCAGATGTTTTGCAACCAAGGGTCCTCCGCACACAAATAATTCTGGTGGAATTCCATCAGGGCCCGCACTTTTGTTGCACTTGATATGTTTGATGGCATTTTCAACTTCTTCGAGAGTGGGCACATCACCAAGAGTGTCAATCATAGGTCGTTGAGGGAGGTTGTTGATGACATCCTCATCATAGATGTTGGTCTCGCTTAGAAGCTGTGTGAACTGCTCAGTCCACCGTTCTCGGATGTCGTCGGATGTCGTAAGGAGCTTGGTACCGTCCGAGTTGAGCAGCGGGACAACGGAGCTCTTTTTTGGCCCGTAAATGACGTTCAGCGACCGAAACAATTCTTTCGCATTTCCAGTGTCAGCATATCTTTGGGTCTCTTCTGCGCGTTCTTGCCACCATTTGTCTTTCATAACTCGGAGTCTGTTCGCTATGGTCCTCTTTATTTCCTTTAGTCTGTCACCGATTTCATTCATTCTTGCTTTCATTAGTTCGGCAATTTCTACGTCATTCTCATCAAACCAGTCCTTATGAGAATGCTTTTGGTAGCCAAGGACAGTCTCAGCTGAGTTAAGAAGAACCGTCTTCAGACTATCCCACTCTGGAGCAGCGATATTCTGTAGCTGTTCGTCGATGCAGGTTCTGAGGGATGTTGCGACTTCTTCTGATTTGAGTTTCGAGACGCAGAATTTCTTCGGAATTTTCTGAGCTTTTCTGGGTGCAGGTTTGCTGATCTTAAGACACACCTTTGAAATAAGAAGTCTATGGTCCGTCCAACAATCAGCACCTCGCATGACTCTAGGGACATGGAAGTCTGATATGTCTTTTGACTTTGTAATGATGTAGTCAATTAGGTGCCAGTGACCAGAGCGAGCGTGCTTCCATGTTGTCTTTAATTTTTTTGGTAGTTGGAAGTACGAGTTGGTGATGGTCAGGTTGTTTTCAGCGCACATTGTTAAGAGAAGATTACCATTGCTATTTACATTGCCGATGCCATGGTGACCGAGAACGGATGGCCAGGTGTGGAAATCATTGCCAACTCTAGCGTTGAAATTGCCAAGGACGATACATTTGTCGTGGGCTGGAATAGTGCGAATGATGGCTGACAAATCTTCATAAAATGCATCTTTCATGATGTCAGAATGCTGCATAGTAGGAGCATACACGCTGATGAGATGGAGCGAACGTTGCTTATTCAACAGCAAACGAAGTGACATGATGCGGTCCGAATGTCCAACTGGAAGCTCAGATAATCGGATGGAGGACTTGATAGCAAAGCAAACTCCTGATTCGTGTTTCTCTGAAGAATGTTTGCCTTTCCAGTAGAAAGTGTATCCACCCGCTGCCTCTGTGAGTGATCCCGAATTGTGGAGTCTTGTCTCGCTTAGAGCAGCAACGTCAATATTATAACGATGTAGCTCACGGGCTACAAGAGCGGTAGAACGCTCAGGACGAATGTTTCCTGGATTGTCATTTAGGGTTCTTACGTTCCAGGCCGCAAGTTTTCGAATTTCATTGTTATTTCGACCGCTTTGAGTGAGTACCCCCCAGCCGCGGTGTGCTGAGCAGGCGAGTGATGAGAGTGCGATTTACTCCACCTTTTCTAGGAGCTTCCCCGGATTGGGGGAGGGTGCGCATCCCTAAAAAGGGCATCCTCGTCGCTTGGTGAAATACCGAAGGATATTATCTCTCATTCTATCCAGCGATTGTTAGAATCCAAGCCACCAGCAATCGAATTTCGCACTAGAGGCTGCCAGCCTGCTAAGCCTGCCCCCGTCATGAGTCATCCGTATTGATGGACTTTTGATAGACTTTTGATTGCAGACTGCATGCACAGTGAGAAGAGCATGGTTGTGCAGGCCATGTTCTATTGGCTTGGCCACGCGGTTCCATCTTCAGTGGCACAAATGATCGCAACGACTGTGAAACTACGCGGTTGCAGGGAGAGGCCGTCGACACAGTTAATCCGTGAGCGCCCTTTGCTGGCGTTTTTCCCGTTACGCCGAACACCATTTACCATGGCTGGGGACTATTTAATCCATAGCTGGGCAAACCTTGTCAGACCGCAGGGCGTGTCCACACGCAGGCGGGCCTGGCCAGTCGTGACTGCGGGGGGTTTGTCCTCCGGAGGTTTCTGTCAGGGTTACCTCACCCTTAGCCTTTGGGCAGTCAAACCCTAACCGCAAGGCAGCGGGTTCCAGTTAATTTAAGGGCGCCGGAAACTCGCCCCTCGCCAGAGCCCCGTTAGCCAAACACAGGCTGCACCACGAGTAGGTGGGGTTGACTTGACTGACAGAAGCTTTATTATCGCTTGGACATTTGCGGCACTTTTAATGCGCGTCCGTATGAGTCCTTACAACCCAGAAAAATGAAGGAGAACGAAGGAATTGACATGCATTACAAAACAACATCTATTTATATACCGTAATATGTCAATTAGTTGGGATAATTA